CAACTTGAGCAGGATGTTTCTTAGTGATACTCAGTTTGAGGTACATATGTTAATTTCTCACCATCAGCATTAACAAATTATGACAAACTGGTGTGTTTAATTCTAATTTATTGCGGTGAACATGTGGGACCCGTGGAAAGGTCCCAGGCAGGCATAGAAGGAGGCCGAGGTGGGTTCAGCCTCCCTGCCCCTTTGAGGAAGCTCACGACGAGAATGAAGACATGTAAAATTGACAGAAAATGTCTTTCATTTATGCTTTGACTGTCACTAACTTTGGAAGAATATTTGGCATATTTATCAATGTTAATATCCTGCAAAATGTAAAATAAGACATTAGGACACTATGAATCTGACTCCGCTAAATAAAATAATAGCTTTGTTATAAATGTATTTTCTTTGCAAATTTTATATCCACAAATGCAAGTTCACCAACAATAAACCATTTCTTTTAAACAATTGAATATCTCAAATCTATATAATCTTCAGTAAATAAGAAAGCAATTAGAACCATTTCTATTTGCAGTGCCTTTAATTTGAATACTCTAAAATCATTTCTTACCCTCATGTTTTCCTTTTTCTTATTTACATTTTTTTCCTTTATACGCACATTTTAGTTTAGTTCTTTTGGCAATGTGTGTATTGTTGTTAAATTTTTGTAAAGTAGGCTACCCTTTATTTTTGCATAAAAAACGATCTAACTTGCATTCCCTTCAATTCTTTGCAGCACAATACCTAATGAATTTAATGAAAAGTGTTTCTAAATGAAAACGATATCTCTAAATACATTTTTACTAGTCTAAATACCATTTTAAGACACATGCACAATATACATTTCTAATTCAATTTCGACGATAGTCATAATGATTTTTTTAGATATCAGAATTACCGGAATCTGCTGTTGTGTGATGAGAGGATGAGATTACGGTAGTAATCTCCCCCCCCCACACACACACACACACACACACACACACACCAGAGCCCCGCCCCTACGCGTCTTGTTGATAATGCTATTGCTAACTGCTAACAACTGTAGTCTGCGGCTTTAGTTGCACTGAGAGAAAAGCTACATGAATTATTAAACATCATCTGGATGCATTCATATGTGATAAAAGTCTCCAGCATGTCAGGTATGAAGCGCTGTGATTTTAACTGAATCATGTTGCAAAACGGACCACAAGAGTGTTTGTTCAATAACGACAGAGAACCATAAACTAGTCTGATATTATTTAATGTGCATTTAAAAAAACGAGAGTGAAAAACAATGGAATTATACACCAAAAACGTAAAGTAGTACAAATAAACGCGTGATGGACAAGAAGAAAAAACATGTGAAGAGCAATAGATCCATAATGGTGTTCTGCTGTTCTGAGCGATGGGCGCTATAACGTTAGTTTATTATACACACAGCTCTGGAAAAAAATAGAGACCCGTGCAAAATTATCAGTTTCTCTGGTTTTACTATTTATAGGTATGTGTTTGGGTAAAATTAAAATAGTTTTTTGTTTTATTTTATAAACTGAAAACATTTCTCCCAAATTCCAAATTAAAATATTGTAATTTAGAGCATTTATTTGCAGAAAACAACAACTGGTCAAAATAACAAAAAAGATGCAGTGTTGTCACACCTCGAATAATGGAAAGAAAATAAGTTCATATTCATTTTTAAACAACACAATACTAATGTTTTAACTTAGGAAAAGTTCAGAAAATAGTTAAATAGACCAGTTGTCGTTATCTGCAAATAAATGCTCTAAATGACAATATTTTTATTTGGAATTTGGTAGAAATGTTCTCAGTAGTTTATAGAATAAAACTAAAATGTTAAATTTACCCAAACACATACCTAAATAGTAAAAACAGATATGTATGTATGTATGTACGCTGCTTGTGTTCAGGAGTAACTTTATTATTTTTTAGTATTTCTGCTTTTCCATAAACGCCACCTTTTATCAGAGAGAGAATTTGCATTTTCTTTCAGCCTGTCTGCCGTTTTAGCTAGTTCATAAAACATTACATAAATCATTTATTATGCTTAAATGTGAGGTTTATCATTTTACAAAAATAATTTGTGTAAAACTGGTGTTATTTGAACTGTAAGGTTGTTTAAATCATATATTTTGTTTAACATCATTTTATAGTTTACGTTGTTACCATAGACACTGCGTTGCTTAAAAACAATGTTCCTAGCTAAATAACTTGTAGTTGTTTTCTAATATCAGAACAGTTTGAAAAGATTTTACAATTTTTAGAAGAATTGTTACTTTTGGTGCGTTCAACTTCAAGTAGTGGGAAGTCGTGTTTACGACGGCAGGTGCGTTCAAGTCACTTTCGATCGTTGGAGTGAGATGGCGGTGTACTTTCTCTTTATTACACAAAAATACAGCAAGGTTCTTAAACTCTAGTTCTTGAAAATGAAGATCAGGGAATGTGCATCAGGTGTGTTTTGCTTTTTTATGTTTATAATTAATTTATTAAGCCACTGCATATACTTTATCGTTACATATTATAATGCTAAAACATATTGTTTAGGCAATTAGCTTAATTCACTGTAAATAGAAAAGCCTGACAATATCACTGCTAAATAACTTTAAGTAATGTGGGATTTCACTATGTTTCTCACCGACAAGCCCCCAACTCATAAAAATCAGGGCTTATTTAAAACCCTGAGCTTCCCAGTTCCCACTCGTATACCATTGTGTAGTTTTTGTCCAAGTCAAGTCAAATGGAAGACAAAATCTACGATAAAACCTGTTGGAAAGCATCTTTTGCAGCGATTTTTGTGTGAGGATATCAGTGAACACCCCAGACCACTCGGTGAGTTTAGCGTCTTTGTAAACTAAAGTTGAATGCGTTTTACAGGGCTCCAGACTAACTTTTTAGGGCTGGGCAACGATTAATCGCGATTAATCACATCCAAAATAAAAGTTTGTGTTTACATAATATATGTGTGTGTAGTGTGTATAATTATTTTGTATATATACATACACACACATGCATGTATATATTTTAAAAAAATGTGTTATTAATATATCAAATATTTATATTTATATATAATTTTAATTATGTATAAATATATATAAAGTAAATACATGCAAATATTTCTTAAATATATACATGCATGTGTGTGTATTTATATATACAAAATAATTATACACACTACACACACATATATTATGTAAACACAAACTTTTATTTTGGATGCGATTAATCGCGATTAATCGCTGCCCAGCCCTATTTTCCACTGGTTGCACTGGTGCTACCAACTTTCTCAGTTGGTCGCACCAGCATATGATTTGGTCGCACCTTTTTTTTTGCTACATGCCATGGGATTAATCAATGCATGTTGATGAATAGTGGTTTTAATGGACCAAGGCTAGCAAAGGCTTTCTGGGTTGCAGCATAAATACCTGTAATATGTTATATAAAAACACATGTAATATATGATAATTATCATTTTCATGGATTTTGGACAGTAATTTTAATCTGTAATTTTAAGCATTTAACATTTGAATTATCACTAAAAAATGCTGGGTTGTTTCAACCCAAATTTGGGTCTAATATGGACAACCCCAAATGTTGGGTTAAAAATGTAATAAAACATTTTTACAGTTGAAAGTGAAAGTTGGGTTAAAATTAAATTTTTAACCCAACATTTGGGTTTGTCCATATTTGACCCAAATTTGAGTTTAAACAACCCAGCATTGTTTAGAGTGTATACAATCTATCTATTTACATTTGAATTATATTATATCTATCTATCTGTCTGTCTATTATCATCTTTCTATCAGCATCATCTTTCTATCTTTTAAAAATCATTACAACATTCAAATGTATGCATTACATTTTAAAAGATTAGAGTATTATACGCTGATACAGATTTTCGTTATCAAAGTTTATAGTTGTAACAAAAATCAGAAATCTCACACTCCTTACCTTCTGCATTTTATAATCATTTCCTTTTTCTCTGTGGAGCGATTACTCTCATCTAACCGCTGAAAAGATGTAGGAAGGGGCTCGGTGTTTCGTGAGACCTTTTAATTTTTATATGCCTCAATTCGTGAATTCGTAATTGGCGCGTTTCACCGTCAGTGTGCAATGCGCGTGACGTCTACGTTCGTCAATAAATAAACTGCACGTGTCTTGCGGAAGAACACTGTAGACGGAACTTCTCTCCGTTAATGTCTATGGCGAGTCACGCAGGCACTGGGCAACTCCGCAGCCGAGCCGAGCCCGGGATAAAATAGTCAGAATATAAACACTTATTATAGGCGTACCGTAGTGATTCAGGATAAGTCAAAAACACAGTTTGGAAAATGGATTCATTATGTACTCGTTCATTTTGAACATAAGTTACGTTACGGACTGCAGCAGCTGATACAACGGCGTTCTATTGCGCGAGCGTCCACTCGCACTAATGCGACCACATACAATTTTAACTCGCACATTCTCAAAAAACGGTCGCATATGCGACCAATTTGGTCGCAGTCTGGAACCCTGTTTTAGGAAGGATTGTTTCTGTGCACCTATGCAACCATTGTGGAGGTGGGGGGCTGCAACCACAGATACCGAAATTTCTCGGGACAGCAGCATGTGTCCACATTTTAATCTTAACCGTTCTATTTCATCAGAAACAATCTTGAAACAGGGCTTTAAGTGTAAAATACCGAACTTGTCCTTTAAGCGAGTGGGAGATTTACAGGCGCTCTCCGTGAGCCCTTCCTGCTTGGAATTTGGGGTTGGTGACTCCAGAGTTACACTGCATATTAGCTACGCAATACGATATGAACCGTTCTCGAAAGGGAACGTACTTGGTTACTAACGTAACTTTGGTTCCCTGAGAGTAGGGAACGAGTATTGCGTAGCCTGCCGCACTTTTGCACTCTGTCAGAGTTTGTTGCTTCAGTCGATGTAAACCTAATATTAAATAATGGTTATAATTGGGGCACTTTAAAGTAATCCAGTATAAATTCAGTCACTTTTTTGTTTTTGTTTTTTTCCAGATCAGGTCCTGTGAGCGTCAGTATCACACAGTGATCACAGTTCACACCTGCAGTGAAGCCCCTCCCACAACAATTCACCAATAAATACTGGGAATATTCCCATCATCCTACAAGAGAAGGACAAACTCCAGGAGTAGCAGCTGAAATCTGTGTGACTGTTAAAGTAAAGATGGAGTTTATTAAAGAGGAGATTGAAGAGATGACTGATCCAGAACCATCCAGAATAAAACATGAAGATACTGAGGAACAAATAGGTTGGTGTCCATTCTTGATTCTTCATTGTTGACTGCTGAGAAACATTAAGGTAACAAAGCTTCAGTTCAACAGATTTGGTTTCAGATTATTCATTTCAACAGAGAAATGATAGGGATGCACCGATACCACTTTTTCCAGAACGAGTCCGATACCGATACTTTCATTCTTGGTACTCGCCTGAGACCGATCCCGTAACCAGTACCTGTATTTTCACTGCATTTGTAATTTTTAAATGTATTGGTAGAGAAACCAAACGAATATAAATCATATTAGTTGGCTTAATTTGTTCATCAAATATATATTTCCTTCAGCTATTTTCATGCTTAAAGGATTAGTTCACTTTCAAAAAAAAAAATTGCTGACAATTTACTCACCCCGATGTCATCCAAGATAATCATGTCTTTCTTTCTTCAGTCGTGTAGAGACTTTGAAGCTGCATTGAGAAGGACATTTGAACCTTCTTTGTACATTGGGATAGATGGTTGCCATTGAAGTCCATTGACATCCTGAACTACAAACTTTCCACTGAAGTCTGTGAAAATTTGATGCGCTCGACCAGCTCGCGCGTCTGTGCCACTGCACACTCAATCCACTGCACGTTTTTCTCTGATCAGCTCCTATCCAGAGCTATATAGGTGTTACTATATTTGGTTTAATATTCCACTAATAAGATACATTTACTTTATAGACAGCCTTCTTTTTAATCCCCGTTATATTGTCTGTTGTCTGTGTTTCTTTGTCTGGACACAAACACTGTTTACGCGCTGCCTGGTATCGGTCGTTGGCGGAGCATTTTTATAAGTACGGGTAAATAAGCTCAGTATCGAGCCGATGCTGATACTGGTATCGGTGCATCCCTAATAAATGATACATAAAATGCATCTAAATTACCATTATATTGTATAGATTCAGTGTTTCCGCTACATTCATTCTGCTGTGGCGCGCCGCCACACCTAAAATCATCCCGCCACGGCTGCAGCTTCTCAGTGAGGTCCGATATTGTGCATACTATTGTGTTATTGTTAAGCCCCACTAAAGGCATACAAAACATTGTAAAGCGCCATAAAGTTTTCGCGCTATATTTGAAGACTTCTAAAGTCATTCAATAGCATAATGTGAGGTAAAAATGAATATTTAAGTCATTAAAGGGATAGTTCACTTTGAAATTAATTTTTGGTATGTTTTAGCTTACCTCAAGGGCATCCAAGATGTAGGTGTCTTTGTTTCCGCAGTAGTTTAAATTTTGATATTTTTAGGTCAAACCGTTCTTGTCTGTCAGTCATATAATGCAGGTCTATGGTCACCACCTCAAAGAGCATGCACAGAGAAGTCCAAATTAAACATGATTTAATGACTCGTAAATGTAAGTACACATTGATGGCCTAAGACACGAAACGAGTGGTTTGTGTGAGAAAACGAACAGTGTTTATATCGTTTTTACCTCTTGTAACCACAGCCACGTCCAAGTGATCTGAGGGCGCGGGCGCTTCAGTCTGCGCAAGCGCCGGAAGTGATCTCTCGCGCGTGTACGTCACTCGTTGTTTACACAGAGATTTCGGAAGTGTTACCTTTCACTGTGAAGATCTAAACATATTTAGATATACAGGAAATAGCAATGGAAGACGATTTCGATATATCAACAGACAACGTTGATTTTTTTTTCCGCAACCGCACGAGAGATCACTTCCGGCGTTTTTCGGCGCTTGCGCAGACCGAAGCGCCCGCGCCCTCAGATCACTTGGACGTGACTGTGATTACAAGAGGTAAAAACGATATAAATACTGTTCGTTTTCTCACACAAACCGCTCGTTTTGTGTCTTAGGCCATCAATCTGTACTTACATTTACGAGTCATTAAATCATGTTTAATTTGGACTTCTCTGTGCATGCTCTTTGAGGTGGTGACCATAGACCTGCATTATATGACTGACAGACAAGAACGGGTTGACCTAAAAATATTAAAATTGAAACTACTGCGGAAACAAAGACACCTACATCTTGGATGCCCTTGAGGTAAGCTAAAACATACCAAAAATTAATTTCAAAGTGAACTATCCCTTTAATGTTAAAGTTAATGGAAACTCATCTCTCCTCAGTCATTAGGCATTCAAACAGAGCGTCACGTTCGATTCTGACAGTAACACAACAACACTCTCGTTAAGATCAATGTTCCCATTATTATACTTTATTTGTAGATAAAGGTCTATAGTTTGCATAAAATGACTTTATCTTGCTGGAGTTTAAAGCGCTTTCTAAATCATATTCTTTTCTCCCGGGTGTCTGTTAGATTACAGCACTGGAGTAGAGAGTGCTGTGAAGTGTTCTTCATGCGCACTGTAACTGAAATTTAAAACTGTTAAAAGAAAAGGCTCTATAAACTGTTGCATAGATATAATACATTAAGCATAGATGTATATAATCTCTTCGCTTTGAACTTCTCAATGCGAAGCGCTGCACGCTGTGACTGCGTTGCTTCAAGTGCATCACTCTGCGCACGGGATGCGCATAATCGCTTTGCCGCTCTTATTGGCGCCTTTCATGTTATAATGCTTAGGGGAGGTTTAAACTAGAGGCCTGCATTTCAGCCCGAGCCCGACGGGCCCCGACTTATTTATGCTCCTAGGGCCGGGCTTCGGGCCAATTTTCACGTCATAGTTCACACGCGGGCCGGGCCTCGGGCCTGTTTTAGGCTTATCTTTTTTATAGCCTATTTTAGACATTAATTAAAATAAAACATGAGAAGATGACGATTGAAAAGCAAACATAGAAAGACGTTTTATAACCTATCACACTGACATAAGACTGACACATGACAGTCTGCTCATGCTCACGCTCACGCACACACACACACACACACAGGTTTCCCGGCGGCGCGATCTGAGATTCGCGCGACCGGCTCGTTCTAGTGTCCCGCTATGGTAGCGAGCGTGACTTCAGCGCAGCTGGAAAAAGTATGACTGGATTAAAACCTTCCACTGTGGATGCTGTGCTTTTTCTTCACGATGCTCTGAGACTGTTCTTAGCCATGTTAGGAGGAGGTTGTTTTTTGTTTGATTGGACTTTATTTTCATGAGTCTGTTGGAAACTATTGGAAATGGCCATGTTCTGTAGTGAAGACTTGATTTTTGAGGTAAGATAACCTGCATGTTTGTTTTTAATGTAATTTATTTGATTTGTTTAGATTGCATTCTCTGTATTGTAGCCTATATTATAAATTCATTTAGTTTGCGAGCGCTGTTGCGACTGAGCAGCAGAGCAGTTTGCCTCAGCTTTTCAAAAATGACAATAAACGTTTAAACTAACGTTAAATGTCTGTGTGATATGCTTAAGTTGTTTTATATCTATGGATTTTATTGTAGCCAAGTAAAGTGTTGATTTGAGAGGCTATAAATCAATCAATGGATCAAACATGTTTAACTCGCTGTCGGCTGCTTGGTCGTCATAAATTTTGTTTTTTGTTTTTTCTTAATTAACTTTATAAAGAAATGAAAATAAACCTACCGGTAAATACTTTGCCATTGAAAACAAAATATATCTGGTTGGTTTACTGACTGCAACATAGGTCAGGCTGTTTATCTTTTTTTTTTTCTTTTTTTTTTTTACGGGCTCGGGTCGGACTCGGGCTGATCATTCTGATGAGCTGTCGGACACGGGCCGGGCTAGGGCCTGAGCGTCTCGGGGCAGGGCCGGGCTAGGGCCTAGATTTGAGGCCCGTGCAGGGCTCTAGTTTAAACACCTGGGGCAAGGGGGCGTGGTCAATATCACGCATGGGCCACGCCCTCTTCCCCTGGCGAAATGGGCCTGCCACCACGGCTGGAAAAAGTCCTAGAGGAAACACTGAGCTTTGGTCATCCACATTTTAAACTGATTCAAAAGAAAGAGACAGAATTAACCGTTGGCAAATCAAAGATCGGATACGTGATGTTGCTGCTCTGTTGCTTTCTTCTGTTAAATCAGAGTTCACTTACACTTATTTTAACCACATTATATTTTTCTTTTAGACTGGATGGAGATGAAACCGCAAAAACATGAACTGAGTGAAGCAGAGGAGGAACAGCAGAGCATCAAAACTCAAAGAACAAAAGCCAATAAGCTGCACTCCTGCTCTCAGTGTGGAAAGAGTTTCAGACACAAAGGAGACCTTAAAAAACACACAAAAATTCACACTGGAGTGAAACCGTATACATGCCCTCAGTGTGGGAAGAGTTTTGCTTTTGCATCAGATCTCAGTAAGCATCTGCGTGTTCACACTGGAGAGAAACCATTTAACTGTGATCAGTGTGGTAAAGATTTTCATTCGTCAGCAAATTTAAAACAACACCTGAAAGTTCATTCAGATGAGAAGCCTTATGTGTGTTCATTCTGTGGAAAGAGTTTTTCAAGGCTGGATCATTGTAAAACGCACCAGAAAACACACAATGAAGTTAGAGATCATGTGTGTTGTGACTGTGGGAAGAGCTTTACTAGAACTGACCAACTGAAAAATCATCAAAGAACTCATACTGGAGAAAAACCTTTCAAGTGCTCATATTGTGACAAGAGTTTCGCTCGTTCTGATAACCTGAAATTACATGAGCGAGTTCATACTGGAGAGAAGCCGTACTACTGTACTCAGTGTGGAGAGAGTTTCATATGTCCCAAAGGTCTCAAACATCATCTTTTCATTCACTCTGGAGAAAAACCATTTAACTGTGATCAGTGTGGTAAAGAGTTTATTTCATCATCACGTCTAAAACAACACCAGAAAGTTCATTCAGATGAGAAGCCTTACGTGTGCTCCTTCTGTGGAAAGAGTTTTTTATGGCTAAAGAGTTTTAAAGGGCACCAGAAAACACATAATGAAGTGAGCGATCATGTGTGTTGTGACTGTGGGAAGAGCTTTACTAGAGATGTCGATCTGAAACGGCACAAAAGAATTCATACTGGAGAAAAACCTTACAAGTGCTCATACTGTGATGAGAGTTTTGCTCGTTCTGAAACCCTGAAATCACACGAGCAAGTTCACACTGGAGAACCCGTACCAGTGTATTCAGTGTGAGAAGAGTTTTAAAGGAGCTGTATGTAAGATTGTGGACAAAACTGGTACTGCAATCACTTTCAAATTACTGTAGAGCGGTGCATCCCCTCCCCCTCCCCCCTGACTCGAGGTTGCCAGATCGGCTGAGGATCCAGCAGGAACGTAGGCTGCTACAAGGAGCTTTCAACTAGAGCAGAGCTGGCAACCCGGATGCTGAAACACTACTGACTTCGTGATTGGTAGATAGGTGGAGGGTTGGGCTTCAGGCCAAAACACAAGATGACAACATCAACATCAGTTGAGGGCTGCAACTTCACTTTTTAAATGCCAATATCGTGGCCGTACTACTGTTGTCAGTGATATAAGTATTTGAAATGATCATGATTTCTTAATGTCTAGAGACACACCAGGGCCATTTTATGATTAATTGAAAAACATTTCTTACATACAGCTCCTTTAAAAGTTCACCAAGCCTTCACACTCATGAATTTTTTTTGAAAGTGAGCAATCATTTTTTTCATGTCAAATACATTTAAGTAAATTTGGAGCACAATATCATCTAGTGTTCAATCTCAGTCCTGGAGGGTTTCGCTCCAGTTTCTTCAACACACCTGCCTGGAAGTTTCTAGTAGAGATGGACTTATTATTGGGAGATACGAAGGTCTGTGGCTTCACCATTGGAAAAAGCGTAACGGCTAACTTGTGAGACACCCCAGCCAATCATACAATGGCAGTGACATCCGTGATCAAAATTCACAGTTGCACCGAAATAAAAAAATTTGGTCGAAACCGAAAATCCTGGGTGCTCTTGCCCAAAAAACCGAAACTGAAAATGCTTTTTAAAGGGGTCATGAACTGCATCATTTTATTTATTTAGACTTCCTGTGGTGCATTTATAATGTTAGTATGATTTTTAAATTAAAAATTGTCGTAATTTAGAAATAAAAGCCTTTTTTCCCAAGCCTGATTTGAATGCTATGTTTGAAGGGGCGTGTCTGTGTGAGTCTTCAGTGTAAATGCTCACTGCTGTGATTGGCTAACATCTTTCCATATGAAATAGCTAAGTATTACATGTGGACTCTCTCCAAATGTTTAGCACATTTTTACTATTAGAGCTCTCAAGGTTGTCTAATCATGAAAAGTGTTGATTATAACATTGTTTAGATCTATAGCATCATATTTAGATTGGCATGATAGGTTTGTAAACTCGCGCTCGATCTGCCCAAGGTCCGGCATCCGATCAGCACGGAAGGTCTCTGCGTGTTACTGTCTTTCCGCGTGGCAAAGGGATTTTTATTAAATGCAATACATTTCTCATATGTATTTTTCTCGTTATTTCATCTGACTCCATAAAATGAAAAGGTTTTTAATGTTATCTGTGCATCATTAAATATATAAGCGAAAGTTTGACTAATTCCTTTTAACTCTAATGAAAATATCAAAGTCAGTTAGAAGAATCATCAAATGTAACAATTTATTATGTCAGGTCAATTTATCATCAGTTCAAAGATAATCAATACAAAATATCAAATGTTCTGGAATAAAAAAGAAGACGAACCCGACAGTAGGAAAATTGGAAAGAGAGGCCACAGCAGTAATGACTTAATGAACTTCGTTACTTACTAGATTTATAATATTAGAGAGAAAATTATAACTATGCAACCGTCTACTACAGTATCACATCAGACAGTCCATTGTAGTCTCCCTGATGAAAAATTTCATTCATTCATTGCTATAGGAGAGGAAGAATTGTCTAAACTCGTTAAATCATCTAAATCAACAACATGTATGTTAGACCCTATACCGACTAAGCTACTGAAAGAGATGCTTCCAGAGGTCATAGATCCTCTTCTTACTATCATTAATTCATCTTTGTCTCTAGGATACGTACCGAAAACTTTTAAGCTGGCTATGATTAAACCTCTTATTAAAAAAATGCAACTTGATCCTAGAGAATTAGTCAATTACAGGCCGATCTCGAATCTACCTTTTCTGTCAAAGATACTAGAAAAGGCAGTATCCTCACAACTATGTTCCTTTTTAGAAAAAAATGATATCTGCGAGGATTTTCAGTTAGGGTTTAGATCGTACCATAGTACTGAGACAGCTCTCAGATTCACAAATGATTTGCTCTTATCATCCGATCATGGTTGTATCTCATATTAGTTTTACTGGATCTTATTGCTGCATTTGATACTATTGACCACAACATTCTTTTGAATAGACTCTAAAATTATGTTGGCATTAGTGGAGTTGCACTAGCATGGTTTAAATCATACTTATCTGACCGTTATCAGTTTGCAGTAAATGAAGAGATGTCTTATCGATCACAAGTTCAGTATGGTGTACCACAAGGCTCAGTACTAGGACCGCTGCTGTTCACTCTGTACATGCAACCCTTGGGAGATATCATATCATTAGGGAAGCATGGCATTAGTTTTCACAAATCATTTATCTGAAAATCTAAATTGTAAAAAGAACAAAATATTCTTACTAATGAAGTAAAAGTATTTTTCAAAAGAATTAAATTTTGTCTAACATTTCATGAAGAAATGTAAAAGCAAGATGTAATAAAATACATTATCTTAGGACAGTATGAATCTGACTTCGGTAAAGAAAATAATAACTTTGTTATAAATAACTTTGTCTTTGCAAATTTAAAAAGAAATCAAGTCTATTTAATCTTCAGTAAATAACGAAAGCAAGTAGAACCATTTATATTTGCAGTGCCTTTAATTTGCATACTTAACTAATGAATACAATTAATTCACCCTCATGGTTTCTCCTTTCCTTTTCCTTTTTTGGTATTTACCTTTTCCCCTTCATTAGCACAATATTATTTCCCCCCTGTATTCTGTTGACAATGGGTGCATGCATTGTTGTTAAATTGTTGTGTTTTATAAATATGTAAACTCTGTTTACTCTGATTTTTGCATCAATAAAAAAACAAACAATCTGGCATTCCCTTCATGTCTTTGCAGCGCAAGTCTCTAAATGACCTGCTCTAGTCGAATCTGCTGTTGTGTGACGTGAGACTGAATTTACCCCCCCCCCCCATACACACTCACACACACACACCAGAGCCCCGCCCCTACTCGTCTTGTTGATAATGCTATTGCTAACAACTGTAGTCTGCGGCTTTAGTTGCAGCTACAGGAATTATTAAACATCATCTGGATGCATTCATATGTGATAAAAGTCTCCAGCATGTCAGGTATGAAGCGCTGTGATTTTAACTGAATCATGTTGCAAAACGGACCACAAGAGTGTTTGTTCAATAACGACAGAGAACCGTAAACTTAGAGTCTGATTTTATTTAATGTGCATGTTAAAAAGACGAGAGAGAATAACAATGGAATTATTCAAGTAGTACAAATAAACGCGTCACGGACAAGAATAATACTTAAGAATGAGCAAGAGATCCGTGATGGTGTTCTGCTGTTTTGAGCGACGAGCGCTATATACAGCTCTGGAAAAAATTAAGAGACCACACTGCACTAAATGCTCTAAATTAGATTATTTTTATTTGAAATTTGGGAGAATTTTTTTCAGTAGTTTATCAAATAAATAATAAATAGAATAAAACTAAAATGTTAATTTTACCCAAACACATAACTTAGGCTAGGAGATTAGCCTATAAATAGTAAAACCAGAGAAACTGATCATTTTGCAGTGGTCTCTTAATATTTTCGAGAGTACACACACACACACGCACACACACACACACATACACATACGCTGCTTGTGTTCAGGACAGGAGTAACTGCTATTTCTGCTTTTCCATAAACGAAACCTTTTATCAGAGAGAATTGTGTAAAACTGGTGTTACTTGAACTGTAAGGTTGTTTAAATCAAATTTTCTTTAACATTTTACAGTTTACGTTGTTACCATATACATTGCGTTGTTTCAAAACAATGTTCCTAGCTAAATAACTTGTAGTTGTTTTCTAATATCAGAACAGTTTGAAATGATTTCACAATTTTTAGAAGAATTGTTACTTTTGGTGCGTTCAAGTCCTCCTGGGAAGTTCATATTTACGAGTTGGGCAGGTGCGTTCAAGTACTTTCTCTTAATTAATTACACAAAAATACAGCAAGGTTATTAAACTCTAGGCTACTTATAGAAAATTGATGTCAAGGAATGTGGGCCAGTGACAAATAAGGTTTTCAACTGATAAAAAATTAAAATAGGTTAAAACTGCACATCAAAGTAGTTATTATCTTTATGGGGATGTTTTTTACTTATTACTAAAATCTCAATTTTAAACAATGTATTTTAAGCGGTTTAACTGAGAAATATGTGACGACACCAGTCAAAATGTCATACGGGATAACGTTAATGCATTTTCTAAATATTATGATATTAAAACTTTTCAAATCAAAAATACTTAATGAATATGTAAAGTGATGCAGTAAACAATAGTTAAAGCTCAGAAAAAAAAATCGGAACAACTATTTTTTTCTCATTATATTGTGATTTCTTTAAACGTGACCCTAATTGTTCAAGTTCTTTACACACATTTTAACACTGCAATGTAATTTAAAATGCAAAATGTCTGAAAAAGGTTTAAAGGACTTGATATCATGTTATTATTGTTTCCTCAACTCCATTAAGTGAAATTATGCATTTCAATGGGAAAAAACAGCGTTATCCCGCCTGACTTAAATTGTTACCCGGTATGACTCCATATGAGTTAACACATGAATTGTAATTTTTACAACACTTACACATAATAATGTTCATAAATAATTAATGTTATGCAATGTTTTTCCAAGGAAATTAATTAGGCTCCACTTTAAAGAAACAGAGATGTGGTTTTCAGTGTGTAAACTGTTACACACAAACTCAGTGTGGTTTCTTCCCAGATTTGGCAAGTAAATACATTTAAACCATTTTTTTTTTTCATGTTTATGAATATCAAAACAGCACAACTTTTCAACATTAGGTTTAATTTATTACTGAAAAGTACCTTGAACCATTTTACTGATCATAGTCACTCTACATCAATATTCATAAATAATGTAAAGGGTTAAAGTAGGCGACCTTCACTGATTTCACTGAACAAATTTACAAAAGCATCTAATTGAACAACATATTTATAAAGAAAAATCTTATTAATGGGTTGAACACTGAATCACTAAATTTCATTAAATGAACACTAAATATTATTTTAGACAATGTCTATAGTAAATGTAATGTAACTGTAATTGAATATTATTATGAATTATATAATTTGCTAATATTCAACTAAACAATGTTAATGATATGTTAATATCACAATTTGAATGGAAATTATGCAAATTAAAGCTGAAAACTGTATAAGAATATATTGTCAAACACGTCATCCTAGATAACGGATGACATTATGGGCTAACAACTGTCATCCTATATGACAAAATTGTTATCCGGTATGACAAAACTCAGTTTAAATCTTAATCAGGCAGTATTTTTGGCTACCTAAAGAAATCTGCAACCTTTACCTTCAACTTCCAAATATGTAAATTCATGCTAAATAAACATATTGACATAAAATCCACATTATATATGTTATTTTAGCGTTATCCCATATGACACAGGATTTTACTACATAGTGTGCTAGTGAGGAAAAAGGGTAAGTTAAACATTTTATGAAAGACATAAAAGACTTTCACCATTGTTTGGGGGTCCTTCATGGTCTTCCTGATTGTGTAACATGCTGTCTCACATCGTGTCAAAATAAAATTTATAATAAAATTGTTCCAATTTGCTTGTTATCCCGTATGACATTGGCTGACAGCCAGTTTTGGGACAGAATGCTCCAAAGCATAACAATCAACTGGATGTCATATTCTTTGTAATATTTAAATATATTGTTGTCAAGACTCATACAATAATGCCTGTGGCAGAGATGTTAGGGTTTATTAGATTTTTTACAGTTTGTTTGGCTTTTTTGTATGTCACTCTAAGGTCCGGACAGTTATCCGGTATGACATTATGAGACTATAATGTCTAATAATTCTTACACTTTGTAATACCCTCACTATATGTTCATATCATTTGATAAACAGAGATTAATAGATTCAATAAATGTGCTTTTTATTAAACATTTCCTTATTTTGACTTCATAAAGGGGTTTGGACATCAAAATTGCACGTCACGTCATTGGGCCGCGTACATAAGGTGTGTTTTTTTTGTTTGTTGTTTTTTTGTTTTTGTTTTGTTTTTTACAATAACACAACAGTGGTACTGGTATCTCATAACAGCTCGTACAGCCAAATATCTTACAATATTTGGATATACATGTTCATACATATAAAATGATAACAAAAAATAGAAATACTAGTCATAATACAACAGGGCATATCTGAGTAAATAAAAAACAGAGACATTTTATAGACCAAAAAAAAAAAAAATTAAAAGGATATATCAGTCACAGCATCTTCAATAAAGTCCCACAGAAAAGACCACGTTTGCCAGAAAACATCAGACCTTTGATGCAGATCATATGTTAGTTTCTCTAGAGGTGGAAGAGTAGCGGCTTGACTCATCCACATATTCACTGAGGGTGTCTGAAGAGTTGACCTAGTAGTAATATACATTTTCTTACTAAATATAAACAAACAATCAGTACACTTTCTTTGTCACCATCAAGGCACAGACCAGCTTTACAGTTCAGAAGATATACATTTGGAGACAGTGCAAACATCTTTCCAGTAATCTTTTGAATAATTTTGTGGATCTCCTTGCATTAACCTTTCATTTGATCTCAATACCAAAACACATGCATCGCCGTACCAGTGTCTGCCCTGCATTTGAAACATAACTGAGAAGAATTGGGGAACATTTTATGAAGGCGAACTGGAGTTAGATAAGTCCTGTGAATAAATTTATAATTTTGTTCGTGGGCCGAAATTGAAACACCTTTATGGAAAACACATACAAACAGATAACCAGTTAACCACTAAAATTTGACCGTAAGTCTTTTTCCCTTATCACCCTCAAAAAGTCAAAAGTTGAAGGACAAACGTTAGACAGCAATGTATATATCTCGGAGATCTTCTTCTTAAGTGTGAATGAAGAGAAAAGCTGCTTTTCCATTTCAGTAACTCTAAAAAGTGCCGTAATTGAAGAAATGTATAAAAATCATTACTGGGAAGGTTACATTCCTATTAACGACTGAAATGAGCCCAATTGACCATTATCAAATAAATGACCAAACTCCAACACTCCTCTCAACCTCCAGGTCAGAAGACCAATGTTCTGGGAGGATCAGGATTGAGTGCGATAGGAGACTTGAGAGACAGCGTATTTGGAATAGCTGGATATTTCTTAACATCCAGTGTTTTGCTTTTTTATGTTTTTAATTAATTTATGAAGCCACTGCATACTTTATCGTCGTTACATATTATAATGCCAAAATATATTGTGTAGGCAATTAGCTTAATTCGCTGTAAATAGAAAAGCCTGACAATATCACTGCTAAATAACTTTAAGTAATGTGGGATTTCACAAGGTTTCTCACTGACAAGCCCCCAACTCATAAAAAACGAACACTTTATGACATCGTGGTGTGCGTTCAACTCGTAAATATGATCTTTACGACCTGAGATGTTGAAAACACTGGACACGAGCTGATCGTGAGCAAAGTGCGCACTTTGCTTTGAAAGGCAGTGTAAAACAGACTACTGGGAAACGCTGAAATCAATCTGTGGCGGTCAATGTTGATAATGTGGCGGACCGCCGCAAAGAAGTTAATGTATGGGAAACATACGTTCCTTACAGTACTACCATGGTGACGATACTACCGTTTAAAAAAATTAAATATCATCACCAGTATTTTGAAGCCTTAGTGTTGCGATACTACCGTAGTAGCGGTATACCGTGCAGCCCTAGATCAAATATGAAAACATTTTAAGTAAACATGATAATCCATATATTATTCTTTAGTGTAGTGAAGTTTTCCTTTCTAAAGATTTATAGTTATGGGCCGCCTGCATTTTCCCCCCAAAATAAGTAAAATGATTGTTTATATTGTTATTTTTATGCAGCCCTAGAAGTAGGCACAACAAACCTTCTTTATATTTTTGTGGATTTAAATCACAATTTTAACCAGAAATGTAAAAAAAAAAAAAAAAAAAATCCCCCCAAATTGTGCAGCTCTAGTTGCTCCTGATATCAACAGGTTTACAGTTGTTTTGCTGTTGTTGTTTTTTACAGGGACCAGATGCCACTTTTGAGTCCTGCTGACTTCCACACAAGTCTCTTCAAACTGTGTTTCTCTGAGTGCCGTATCAACATCAGCAAGCTACACTGAACTGATATTCTACATGAACATGGTAAAATAAGCTCCATCACTGACTACTGATAGCAGGGCAGTTCAGCTCTTGTCATCAGTTTTGGTTTTTTGGTTCTGTTTTTTTGTCCTCAGCTCTGGGCTTCTATGCGTCTAGGGTTTAATGATGTATCAGTGTCCAAAGAGGCGATCGACTCATCAGTCTTTTATACTCCTGTTGTTTGCCGCCGAAGCTATGTTTTAATATTCTTGATTGATGTAAGTTGTAACTTTCCCAAAACTTTCTAGATCCTTCTCAAGGCCTCGCAGGTGCAAGCTGTCCGCCTTTTCATGTCCTTGAACTCAAAGTAAACTCAACCAAGATGGCTGATTTCCTATCAAGGTTCTAGTAGTAGAACCAGAGTAGAACCCCGGAGTCTTTTGTGTCCTTGAGCGCACACACATAAACACACTTATCTGCTAATAAATACTGTAAATCTCTGCCAATACTAAGGCATTTATTAGAAACAAAATTAATAACAACACTGTAACCAATGCATTATATTCAATAGATTGGCTAAATATGTGAAACAAAAATACATCTACAATAAACAAGGAGGAAGGGTAATTACATTTAATTGATATTATACAACAAAATAAAGGGATTGTCTCCTAAAAGTAGGAATCGATTCTGAACTGCCAAAGTGAGGCATCCGCAATTCCAGGAGTGGCCGTTTTGTTTCTGATGCTCAAACTGTAGACCAATCAGAATAGACTGGACCATCTGACCAATCAGAACAGAGCATGCTCGCAGAAAGGAGGAGCTTAAAGAGACAGAATCTTTGAACAAACTGTTTTCAGTTTCTTTAGAAATGAGGTGATGTGCAAAGTATATTGTGAGAAAATATAGGTTATAGGGCACTTTAAAGTAATCCAGTATAAATTCTGTAACTTATCTCTGATTTTTCCAGATCTGGTCCTGTGGGCGTCAGTATCACACAGTGATCACAGTTCACACCTGCAGTGAAGCCCCTCCCACAACAATTCACCAATAAATACTGGGAATATTCCCATCATCCTACAAGAGAAGGACAAACTCCAGGAGTAGCAGCTGAAATCTGTGTGACTGTTAAAGATGGAGTTTATTAAAGAGGAGATTGAAGACATGAGTGATCCAGAACCATCCAGAATAAAACATGAAGATACTGAGGAACAAATAGGTTGGTGTCCATTCTTGATTCTTCATTATTGACTGCTGACAAACAGATATTTGCTGGTGGCTATGAAATAATGAACACATTAGAGATGATAAATGAGACTGAAAATGCATCTAAATAATCATAATCTTGAATGGCTTTTGCTAATACATTTTAAATGGATTTACAAGAAAATGACGGAGCTAACACATCAAAGACCTGATACTTGATACTCTAATTCTTTCTTCTGTTAATTTAGTTCTCTTAAACGTATTTTAACCACATAATATTTTTTATTTTAGACTGGATGGAGATGAAACTGCAAAAACATGAACTGAATGAAGCAGAGGAGGAACAGCAGAGCATCAAAGCTAATGAGCTTTACACCTGCCCTCAGTGTGGAAAGAGTTTCAGACAAAAAGGACACCTTAAAACACACATAAGAATTCATACTGGAGAGAAACCGTATCCATGCACTCAGTGTGAGAAGAGTTTTTCTCAAGCATCAGGTCTCAGGAATCATCTGCATGTTCATTCTGGAGAAAAACCATTCAACTGTGATCAGTGTGGTAAAGATTTTATTTCATCATCAAATCTAAAAAATCACCTGAAAGTTCATTCAGGTGAGAGGCCTCATGTGTGTTCTCTCTGTGGAAAGAGTTTTTTATGGCTCCGTCATTTTAAACTGCACCAGAAAACACATGATAAAGTGAGAGATCATGTGTGTTGTGACTGTGGGAAGAGCTTTACTACATCTGCCCATTTGAAAAATCACCAAAGAATTCATACTGGAGAAAAACCTTACAAGTGCTCATATTGTGACAAGAGTTTCTGTCGTTCTGAAAACCTGAAATCGCATGAGCGAGTTCATACTGGAGAGAAGCCGTACCAGTGTACTCAGTGTGGGAAGAGTTTCAAATGTAAAACTGATCTCAAATATCATCTGCGCGTTCACTCTGGAGAAAAACCATTTAACTGTGATCAGTGTGGTAAAAAGTTTATTTCATCATCACATCTAAAACAACACCTGAAAGTTCATTCAGATGAAAGGCCTTATGTGTGTTCTCTCTGTGGAAAGAGTTTTTTATGGCTAAATGGTTTTAAACAGCACCAGAAAATACATAATGAAGTGAGAGATCATGTGTGTTGTCAGAAAACACATAATGAAGTGAGAGATCATGTGTGTTGTGACTGTGGAAAGAGCTTTACTAGAGCTGACTATCTGAAGCAACACCAAAGAATTCATACTGGAGAAAGACCTTACAAGTGCTCATATTGTGACAAGAGTTTCACTCAGTCTCCGCACCTGAAATCACATGAGCGACTCCATACTGGAGAGAAGCCGTACCACTGTACTCAGTGTGGGAGTGATTTTAAACATTTGTCAAGCCTTTCCACTCATATGAAAAAATGTTGCAATGTATCAGTGTAAATACATTCAAGTAAATGTGTGAGATAAAATAAGGAGTTTATAGTAAACGCACAGTATCAGTTTAATTTAGTGAATTTGGTCAAAAGGTTGGAAAACTAGAAAGACAGAGTTGAAACTTCACCAATCAACAACTCTTACTCTTAAATAGGTTGTTGTGAGTTTTTTTTCTGTCAGAATGGGTTGTGTGCTAAATGTCTTTCTTTATTCGTGTAATTTACTAAATTTACTATTTTGTCTTCTGATAGTACATGCAGTTATTGGAAATAAAACAGAATCAACATTTTGTCTTGATTAATCTATTTACTGAACAGAGTTTGAGTTATATATTTTTAATCACCTTCATGAGTGGAAACATTCTATTTGCATCTAATCATTCTATAAAAATCAGGTTCACACTTACAATTAGAGGGAGTAAAGTTTAATGCGTATTTGAAGTGCTGTCCAGGGGGAGGGCTCCGAGCTCGGAGTTCGGCCCGAACCCAGAGTACCATTGCACGTACACCATCGCCGCCGGGGTCTCGTCGTCATCCATTTGTCAACATTCTTCCACCGCCTGCCATTACCATCCCTACCCTATCTCCTGTCACCATCCGTACGCCATCTCCTGTCACCATCCCTACCCTATCTCCTGTCACCATCCGTACGCCATCTCCTGTCACCATCCCTACGCCATCTCCCGTCACCATCCCTACCCTATCTCCTGTCACCATCCGTACGCCATCTCCTGTCACCATCCATACGCCATCTCCCGTCACTATCCCTACGCCATCTCCTGTCACCATCCCTACGCCATCTCCCGTCACCATCCCTACACCATCTCCTGTCACCATCCCTACGCCATTTCCCGTCACCATCCCTACACTATCTCCTGTCACCATCCCTACGCCATCTCCTGTCACCATCCCTACGCCATCTCCTGTCACCATCCCTACGCCATCTCCTTTCACCATCCCTACGCCATCTCCCGTCACCATCCCTACGCCATCTCCCGTCCCCATCTCTACGCCATCTCCTGTCACCATCCCTACGCCATCTCCCGTCATCATCCCTACGCCATCTCCCGTCCCCATCTCTACGGCATCTCCCGTCACCATCCCTACGCCATCTCCCATCACCATCCCTACGCCATCTCCCGTCACCATCCCTACGCCATCTCCCGTCACCATCCCTATGCCATCTCCCGTCACCATCCCTACGCCATCTCCCGTCACCATCCCTACGCCATCTCCCGTCACCATCCCCTGTCACCATCCCTACGCCATCTCCCGTCACCATCCCTACGCCATCTCCCGTCACCATCCCTACGCCATCTCCCGTCACCATCCCGTCACCATCCCTACGCCATCTCCCGTCACCATCCCTACGCCATCTCCTGTCACCATCCCTACGCCATCTCCCATCACCATCCCTACGCCATCTCCCGTCACCATCCCTTCGCCATCTCCCGTCACCATCCCTACGCCATCTCCCGTCACCATCCCTACCCCATCTCCTGTCACCATCCCTACGCCATCTCCTGTCACCATCCCTACCCTATCTCCTGTCACCATCCCTACGCCATCTCCTGTCACCATCCCTACGCCATCTCCTGTCACCATCCCTACGCCATCTCCTTTCACCATCCCTACGCCATCTCCCGTCACCATCCCTACGCCATCTCCCGTCACCATCCCTTCGCCATCTCACGTCACCATCCCTACGCCATCTCCCGTCACCATCCCTACGCCATCTCCCGTCACCATCTCTACGCCATCTCCTGTCACCATCCCTACGCCATCTCCAGACACCATCCCTACGCCATCTCCCGTCACTATCCCTACGCCATCTCCCGTACCTATGCCATCTCTCGTCACCATCCCTACACAATCTCCTGTCACCATCCCTACGCCATCTCCGTCACCATCCCTACACTATCTCCTGTCACCATCCCTACGCCATCTCCCGTCACCATCCCTACGCCATCTCCCGTCACCATCCCCTGTCACCATCCCTACGCCATCTCCCGTCACCATCCCTACGCCATCTCCTGTCACCATCCCTACGCCATCTCCCATCACCATCCCTACGCCATCTCCCGTCACCATCCTTTCGCCATCTCCCATCACCATCCCTACGCCATCTCCCGTCACCATCCCTACGCCATCTCCCTTCACCATCCCTACGCCATCTCCCGTCACCATCCCTACGCCATCTCCCGTCACCATCCCCTGTCACCATCCCTACGCCATCTCCCGTCACCATCCCTACGCCATCTCCTGTCACCATCCCTACGCCATCTCCCATCACCATCCCTACGCCATCTCCCGTCACCATCCCTTCGTCATCTCCCGTCACCATCCCTACGCCATCTCCCGTCACCATCCCTACCCTATCTGCTGTCACCATCCCTACGCCATCTCCCGTCACCATCCCTACGCCATCTCCCGTCACCATCCCTACACCATCTCCCGTCACCATCTCCCGTCACCATCCCTACACCATCTCCCGTCACCATCCCTACGCCATCTCCCGTCACCATCCCTACGCCATCTCCCGTCACCATCCCTACGCCATCTCCCGTCACCATCCCTACGCCATCTCCCGTCACCATCCCTACGCCATCTCCTGTCACCATCCCTACACTATCTCCTGTCACCATCCCTACGCCATCTCCTGTCACCATCCCTACACTATCTCCTGTCACCATCCCTACGCCGTCTCCCGTCACCATCCCTACGCCATCTCCCGTCACCATCCCAACGCGATCTCCTGTCACCATCCCTACGCCATCTCCTGTCACCATCCCTACGCCATCTCCCGTCACCATCCCTACGCCATCTCCCATCACCATCCCTACACCATCTCCAGTCACCATCCCCTGTCACCATCCCTATGCCATCTCCCGTCACCATCCCTACACAATCTCCTGTCACCATCCCTACGCCATCTCCCATCACCATCCCTACGCCATCTCCTGTCACCATCCCTACGCTATCTCCCGTCACCATCCCTACGCCATCTCCCGTCACCATCCCTACACCATCTCCCGTCACCATCTCCCGTCACCATCCCTACGCCATCTCCCGTCACCATCCCTACGCCATCTCCCGTCACCATCCCTACGCCATCTCCCGTCACCATCCCTACGCCATCTCCCGTCACCATCCCTACGCCATCTCCTGTCACCATCCCTACACTATCTCCTGTCACCATCCCTACACTATCTCCTGTCACCATCCCTACGCCATCTCCTGTCACCATCCCTACACTATCTCCTGTCACCATCCCTACGCCATCTCCCGTCACCATCCCTACGCCATCTCCCGTCACCATCCCAACGCCATCTCCTGTCACCATCCCTACGCCATCTCCTGTCACCATCCCTACGCCATCTCCCGTCACCATCCCTACGCCATCTCCCGTCACCATCCCTACGCCATCTCCTGTCACCATCCCTACGCCATCTCCCATCACCATCCCTACACCATCTCCAGTCACCATCCCCTGTCACCATCCCTATGCCATCTCCCGTCACCATCCCTACACAATCTCCTGTCACCATCCCTACGCCATCTCCCGTCACCACTACGCCATCTCCCATCACCATCCCTAC